TCCTCGGGACCCAGAGTAGTATCTGGATACATAGAAGGCACTCATTAAGTATTCGTTTATTAAGTAACTAATCGTTAAGATTTCATAGCCACATCTTAAAGACTTCAGTATAGAATTTCCACATCTAAAGAAAATGGGTCCACTGGAAGAGTTGTTAAAATTCTGCATAGGCTTTTAACAGATTTGGCAGATGCTGCTTTTCTCTTTCAAAAATACAGTAGAAATCCTTGTACAACTGTGTCTACTAACATTTTATTGTAACTATATTTGGATTTAGTTTTATAAATTATGTTTTGAAAGGGGACTTCAGACGTTTGCTTTGTAAATGAGCTGATAATTCCTACAGGTGACAGCTCTTGTCATGTAGAATCAATGTGATTGACATTTTGTTAGGAATTGCTGAAATGAGCATTGCACTTTTTGGGGGAATATCATTTTATAGTATCTCCTTCGAATCATATTGGTTTATCTATACTGAATTCCTTCTGGAAATGACGAAGTAAGGGAACACCTTGGATTTTTTCTTTAAACCTGAATAACTCAGGTTTTTGTGTTCTTTTTCCCTTTCTCACACCAAAGTTAGGCCTTTACAGTACTGATTTTGCCTATAGGCAGCTGTGCATAGTAGATGTTATAAAGCATTTCCTCTACATAAAACTCAGACCTGGAATATTTACAGTAGATGTTGATAACACGCAACAAAGCATCAACTTTAGGGCATGTCATTTTCGAAATCATTTATTGAGCTCTTGTCCTTGGCCCTATTTTAGACATTGTAATGAAATTAAAGGGAAAAACTGCTTACATTATGGGATTTATACACTGATGTGGGTCAATCAAAATGCAAATAATATTATTGTAAGGCACATGTTCAGGGGCAGGCATAAAACAAGCAGGATAAAGTTTTAAAGGTGAGAGGAAGGAAAATGGAGAGACAGTGAGCACTACGTTATTAGTCAGCGTTCTGTAACATACGGACCCACGGATAACCTTCATAGGCTGTTTTTATTTTACTGTATACAATTTCCATGATTCTTGCAAATGATTAAACAAGCGGCTCGACAACAGTTATGAAAGTTTAAGGTACAAATTTATACATCTTTCTCCAAATCACATGTACAGTAGTTCTGTAATTTTTCTAAATGTCCATGAACCTCTTGAAAAATATCAGGAATTTGGAAGGCCTGGAATTACATCTGTTTACCCCCTCAGATTCGACAGTAACACATTACATTATTTTGTGGCATAAATCCTTTGACTTGTTCTTACATGATGTTTTTTAATTGTAACACTCTAGTGCACTCATAGAATTATACATTTTATTAAATGTATCACAAGTAGCTTGAAATATAGTTTCCCCATTTTCATCAGATTTTATAGAATTCTTAATTAAGTTCTTAAATTACTAGTATTACTTTTAAAATTTAGTAGTTTAACTTTTTCTTAAGCTCTTGTTCCTGAGTTCCATGTCAGTCTACTTTGCATGAGACCAGAGGCCAGCAAACTTTTTTGTAAAAGACCATATAGTATATATTTTAGGCTTTGCTGGCCAGATGGTTAGTTACTATTGCAACTATTTGACTCTGCCATTGTAGCAAAAAAGCAACCATAGACAATAAAGATGTAAAGAAACCAGTGTGGCTGTGTTCCAGTAAAACTATCTGTGGACAATGAAATTTGAATATCATGTGACTTTCACATCTCACAAAGTATTCTTCTTTTGAAGAACGGACAGTAGGCTCAATTTGGCCTGCAGGCCACAGTCTGTAGACCCCTGCCCCACATTCATAGTCCACCCCAAGTTGTATTCACATGTCCCCAGAAGAAGGAATTTAAACATGCCCCAGAAAGAGTTGTGTTTTACATCAATTATTCTGTTACTTAGTCCATAATTATCAGTCATATATCAGATCAGTCACATTCCTGTTAAAATCAGATACAAGCACACCTCAGAGATATTGCTGGTTCTGTTGCAGACCATTGCAATAAAGCAAATATTGCAATAAAGTGAGTCGTAATCTGTTTGCCATTGGAGGGTCTTGCCTTTGATTTGTAAAAAAACACATCTGTGTAGCATAATAAAGTGAAATGCAATAAAACAAGGTATGCCTACCCTTTATTTCAAACAGGTACAAGGAGATTAGTTCTGAAATCACTAAAGCTAAATAAATGAAGAGCTGAGGAAAGACTCCAGCATACAAGTATCTGATTATTAAAAATTTTGTTAAATATTGGATTTGTTTTCATTTATTTGAATTTTTTATCTGCTTTTTTAAAATTTAAATAAAGTCACCTTAGAATTTTTATGTTAGCTTTTTTATTTTTATTATCCAGAGGGGCCACCTTTCTGCAGAAACGGGATTATGCTTAGGAGGCTGGATTCTTTATATTTTAGTTGTGTTTTAGGCCCAACACCATTTTATTGAACTCCAAACAAATCGTATTCCCAGTTCTTAGTTGTTTATGTATTTTCATTGTATTACATATTGCTTAAAATAAGTATGGTTTTATAAAATAAGTATATTTTAGTTGTGTTTTAGGCCCAACACCATTTTATTGAACTCCAAACAAATCGTATTCCCAGTTCTTAGTTGTTTATGTATTTTCATTGTATTACATATTGCTTAAAATAAGTATGGTTTTTGTTGGTAATCCTTTTGTTAAAATAGGCTTTGTTAGTTTAAAGATTTTTCTTTTTGTGGAATTAGAACTGTATTACTGTTTAAAGATGGGTTTCTGCTGCTTCCGTTTACTTTTTTTTTTTTTGATACTTTGTATGAAATCTTGTTCCCTTTAGTTGCTTGCTCTTGAACTTGGCATGAATGTACTTTAGGAAATCCCCTGACATAGGAGGAAACAATTTTGGAATCTCTAATGTAAAACATATTTTGTGCTCCTCTTCAAAGTAAAACATTTCCAGGGCATTTTGTTTTTCTGAGATTATTATTGGTGCTTGTTTTTCCTGTTTTAAACTTCTTTTCAGTCTGTTTGGTTTTCACTATAGGACGTCTAGTGTTTTATCTATTAGTATAATTAACAGTGTCGAAGTCTCCAAGCATAACTGCTTTTCCTGACCCTGTCATACACCTTTGCCATCTCTTAGCACAGTTTCTCACTTACTCTTTACTGAATAGCCCTTCTCTTCTTCATTCACTCATCCTCTGTTCACTTAACATTACCTGCTTATGTCACAGTGCTAAGTTCCTTACTCAGTGTTTCTCATTCCCCTATCCACCTGTTAATGCCACGCACTTCCCTCTGAACAGTCTTTCTTGTATTATTTTTGGTGTCGCAGCTTCATCACCTTTTGTAGTCTATTTCCTTCCACTATTCTCTTACTGCTTCCCTTTAACTTAGACTTTTCCACTTCAGACTTTTAATTCATCTGGCCTCCCCACCATTTCTCTCTGCCACTTGCCCGCTGGGACTGCTGTATATCATTCCTCTCTTTGGCTTACGTAGCTCAGTGCTGTCCAGGCTTCCGATCCTATTCCTCCTCCTTGAAATTGGAGTGAGCCAGGGTGTTTGTACAGTGGCATCAATTCACCAAAGCAGGTTTGACTGGACAATTGTGGAGAATGGCAGTTCCTTCATTAAGAATGGCAGCCTTCATGCCTGCTCTGCCAAAGCACTGTCCTTAGCCATGAGGATTTCTTCCAGGATCTTGCCTCCAGTTCTCGGTGTAGAGTCACAGAGAACATTGGATCTTGTTCTTCTTTTTTTTTTTCTTCTTCCAATTGAAGCTTTTTCTCACTTATCCTGAATTATAACTATCTCTGTGTCAAAAATGCCTGTCTTAAAACAACATTGTGTTACTCTGTCCACACTGAATTATCAGCACTTCTTTTTCGTGATTCAGTGAGAGAGTTTTCAGTGTCATGAAAAGAATTACTTTAGCTTACTGCCTTGTAGATGACTGGTTGAATTCAGCATTCTGTAATTGGACATACTCATGGGTTATCAAAACTGGAAGAGATCTGAAGAATTCTTCAGCTCTCCTGTTTTACATATGAAAAATTCAAAGCCTCAACTGATGAATGCCAGGCTCTGTCAAATGAGTGAAAAGTTAGTGTTGGAATTTGGGTCTCCTGATGCCAAGTTTTTGTTGAATCAACTGATTTTTCTATAGCATTGATTCAGGGAAGAGATGTTCTATGAAATGATAATTTTTCTTAACACCCAGGACAATGATTCATATCTTCCTAAAAGATCCCAATATTAGTGACCTTTGATTCTCAAATGCACTGATTGTTATAGAAAGCAGCAATACCAATCTAAAATGGTTTGCTTTACAAACCTAGCAATATGATTCCATGGTCTGGTGTATACAGTGGGAGAAACTTACTAGAAAAATGGGACAGAAGACTAAGTGCCAGAAGTCAAGTGTGTACATTATACCAGTGATTGTGAGGTAGGCCACACAAAGGATATATTCGGCTATTATTTATTTTTGTAGCTCCCTTCCTCCTTGTAACTAAAAATTACCACTTATTTTTTCTCCTGCTCATAAAGAAATCATAATTTTAGATCTTATATATGATTTTAATTGTCCTGCCATTTTGATGGAACTAATATGACTTTCTTGAAGCAGATTAGGAATTCTCACTAGCACATCTTCTTAGCAAAATATGGAATGAAGGATTACTTCTGGGTTTACCAGAAAACTTTTGTACTGTTCTAGTGATTTCAGTCCTATCTCAAGGTAATGATAAATAGTCTAATTTTGGGTTGGATTAAAACTGGGATGAGGAATTAGAAGGATTTGGGGGGTTTGTCGGGGCCTGTGATTGTGTGTGTATGCATTTACACATATGTAGGTCAAATAATTGTTAATGTACTACTCTCTCAGTATGCTATTCACCAGGTCCAGCAACATCTGAATAAACCATCTGTCAGTTTGCTGTTTCACCCTTTCCTGGAGAGGTGATTCTTTCTCTTTGGCCTTCCATAGTGGTAATTTCAGCTTTGCAGGTATTTCTGTAGGTGAATATATCCAGGCAGTGCATTGGCGTGACTTACCTTTTCCCTCCCATGTGGAGGAAAGTGTTGGAAGTGACAGTCCTTACGATGTGTAGCTTCTCATAGCCAGTGTGGTGAATAGGCTTGTCCATAGGCCCTGGGGAAGTTTTAAGGGAAAGCTTAGTCATGCTTGTGGATTTTGGTTTAGGGATCCGTGTTGGAATTCTTTGCTTGCATACGTCCTTGATCTTGAATTAAACAGAAGAACAAAGGTAGTTAATGGCACAGTTTGTGGAGAAGCCGACATTATTCAAGACATGGAATCAGCGTGGAGGGTTTGGCTTCTTTGAAATCACTATGTTGTGGGGACACATCACATTAAAGATTAAAAAGTTGAACAAAATTTTTTCAGTAAAACAATTCTGCCAACATATGTTGAATGTGTGCAATGTGCAAGGCCTTCAACAGTATATCTGGTACTAAATATAAAGATAAATAGTTATTTTTCTTGCTTTTTGGCAATCGCAGATGGGAGATAAGTAAGAGTACTGTCCCAAATTAATCTCAAAGGGTCATAGATTGCCAGAGAAATGTTAATTTCAACTGAAAAGTCTAAGAGAGCTTCATAAAGAAAGTACATGATTTGACCTCAGCCTCCAAAGACTTTTTGG